GTATGATTATATTTTTCAAATCACTATTTTGTTAATTGTTTACTCATGTTACTCAAAAAATTTATTTCTAAGAAATCAACAAAAAATTATGCAATATTAACAATGCAATTTAACTGTCACTTTGAATATCTACATAAACAAAATACTGTAAAAGTTTCTTAACAATTACAGTTACCTAAAGAAAATGATGGTTTTCAACTTTAATAAATAAAGGGATATGGAGTAAATGTGCATGGAACAAATCACACACAATACAGATAAAAAACAATATCATTGAAAAGGGCTTTTATTCCTGTTCTTCATGATCATCTTGATGGTCCATTGAGGATTTTCAACAATGAACAAATCTTTCTAACCCTACAAAAATGTCAAAACGGCCGCTAGCGTTGAATTGAACCCTACTATTGATAAACTTTAACCTCAGTTCACCTTGCTCCCCACCCACAGCGGAGTGCAAAATTGGGTGATGTTTGTGTACGACGGTTCTCCAATCAAAAACGCAAAGAAATCGATTTGCCCTACAATATGTCTTTAAGTAACACATGTCATGAGTGTTCAATGAATTACATAAATTATATTAATGTGGTTGTATAAGTTGTTATTGAAAATTATGGTTACATTTTCTTTTATTAATGTATACAAACTAATAGATAATTAAAATTTTCAATTTTACATGTCTTATGTTTATTATTTCAATTAGTTTTCCTTACAGGAAAGTCTTTATTTTGGAAGTTAAAAAGATTCTAAAGACACACTTAGAATTTTTCACCAATATCCATTTATCGGATGATAATGATGATCATAATTATGCAAGACAATCCTGCCAAAAGACCAAATTAGTAAGTACTTTGATGTGTTTGAAAAGCATTGATAATAAGTTTTGGTAAGCACTAACAAGTATATTATATTGACAGGTAATTTTGCAATGAAATTAGGCGTTATAAATATCAATATAAAAAAGGAGATGTGGTATGATTGCCAATGAGACAACTCTCCACAAGAGACCAAATGACACAGAAATTAACAACTATAGGTCACCGTACAGCCTCCAACAATGAGCAAAGGCCATACCGCATAGTCAGCTATAAAAGGCCCCGAAATGACAAATGTTAAACAATTCAAACGAGAAAAACAAAGTTCCTTATCAAATGAGGCCACTTTAATCTACATAAAACTCAAAAATGACTTAAATGAAAAATTAAAAATATGAGCAAGTGATATAAAAATATTGTAATAATGTACATTCATTAGATAAGAAATAAATCTCATATACTAAGTAGGTCACATTGACCTTAAATTTATACACACGGTAAAATGCAGTTGTTAAAGCCGGCATTTACCATGTTTAGTTAAACCTACAAACAACTTAAAGTTATAAAAATGTATATCAGTTTTATTTGTAGAAAATTTTGGTAAAATTGTTAGCCTTCATATCCCAAAAAACAAAACCAGTACTTAATGTAAAGGTCATTATAGTAAAACATGATTGTTTTCTAAATCAAATGAACTCTGATGTAAGAAAAACAGGCCAGTGTTTTCATGTATATCATTATTAATATTTTGGAGTATTGAATAAAGATGATGTGTTTTATTTCAGATACCACTTGGAGTATTGAATAAAGATTAATGCAAGATAGCTGACATGATCGATGTAATGGAGGATTATCATAAGTATGTGCCTGTGGCTACTGGTATGAATCCATTCATCATACCTCTTTATGAAGATCAGCTAAGTGTGGAGAGGGCAAACGATGCACAACATGCTCAGATTAATGCTGAAAGCCAGTGGGACCAGCTGCAAGGCCTGTTTTATATTAGTTATAATTGGCTTTAAATGCACCATATGATAATAATTTTTATTAGGAATTTTAATTTGCTATATTAAAGCTTACAAACATGTTAAAGTTGTTCACACTCTAGTATTGTTTGAAGAATTTTGTTTCTGTTTTTTTAGACTTGGAAACATTGTTATTTTTTCAAGCAAACATAAACACAGTAATTATCTTCTCATACAGTTATCAACTAAGATCTTAATCTCAAACATCACTAAAACAACCCAGCCATTTCAGACTTTAACCCATTTTTAAGTGTATTAATTTAAAAAATGAATATTCATCAAACTAATCATAGATTAATTATTTGATTTATTTTTTTCATTTTCAGGACACATACAAAGTTCTGTTTTCCTCCAAAGGTGCAAGGAGTGTTGGAACATTATCTCACATCCGCTTTCATATCGCCGCAATAATGTGAATTCTGATGTCCAACACTCCTTCAATGAGGCTACTGAATTGCTGAGATTTGCCACAACCAGTTACGTGCTTGCTAGTGCTTTATCACATATGAAATGCACAACATACTCAGACTTGCCAGAAGACTTGCCAACTGACCAAGCACAGCTTGACATTTTTTTTCATGATGTTGCTTGTCATGTTGTAGATATGTGTTATAAACCACATAACACAGCACCTGTCATCAATGCAAGCACTGATAACAAAGAAACATATAAATACTGTGTTTGTAAAGTTGACAGTGATGAAGGCATGATCAGTTGTGACAATAAAAATGCAATAAAGGAAAGTGGTTACATTTTTCATGTATGGGCATGACTGAACAAGAAGCAGAAGATCTAGAAGATGAGGAAATAATGCGGTTCTGTTGTGAGGGCTGCCGAGGTACATCAAAAAAGAGTATAACACTTAGTGAAAACGATTCCATATTTGAATATACATGTATACTTTTATATAAAGGACTAAAAGAAATTGCTCATCATACTGCAATTAGAAATAATAATGGTTCAAAGATGATAGACTTTTGGAAAAATGATTTATTTGACTTTTATGAAAAGCATCATACCAAATATTTTTTATGTGCTCATCAGCTGATTATGGATGTCAGCGGAAGAGTTTCTGAAAGACTAGGCCATCAATTAGTGTGGAATAGAACAGTGAATTTGAAAGGGGACAACATCACCAACATTGAGATGGACCTTCAAGTGGAATTCTTCAACAGAGAATTTAAAGTTAATACATGTAAAATAAAAAAGTTTATGTAGATTATATTATGAATAACCATATAAAACAGCTTAACACAAATATTTAGATAACAAAATCTGTGTATAATATGTGAAAAATTGAAATAAAATAACTTAGCTAGTACCAGTAACTAGTAAATTAAATACAGGACAAACTGCACATTGTCATTTAAAGTAATTCATTAAGGTGAAAAAATTGTTTGTAGCAGATTATATAAACACTTTAACACATTCACATACTTTAATTCATTCAGTACATGTATACTGCACATTTACATAGATAAAAGAAGATGTGGTATGAGTGCCAATGAGACAACTCTCCATCTAAGATACAATTTGTAAAAAGTAACAATTATAGATCAAATTATAGCCTTCAACACATATTTAAAATATATACAATATACCAAACATAACATGGCTATATCAATTCAATTCAAAAAGCAAAAGGTTTAAAAACCATTTGGTTTAGTATCTTATGTAAATGCATGAAACCTTATTGATAAATAATTGAAGTCAATTAATAAGGTAACAAATACTTCTTTGTTTTTGTAAATAAGAAGATTTTAACTATGTTATCAATGATTGAATTATCTCCCCTTTATATTATCAAACTTGTACAGTGTGTATAATCAAAATTGTGTTAATTTTCAAATTTTTGATAACAAAGCAAGTCTAAATGACTGTTGTGTAGTTTGCTAATACATTTTTAGGATAAAGTTCAACATTTTAACTAAACCCCCACCCAAAAAAATTATTAAGGGATACAACTCTAACACAAAATTAATTTAACCTGTCCAAGTGTAAGTAAATATAAATCATTAATTTATTAATTTTATCTGGACTTAAATTTTAATAACCATTATTGCTATGAAAAAATTCATTTGATAATATACTATTATACAATTTTATTTTGTAGAATCTATAAAAGATGCAGGTGGCAATGTTACAGACACAACTATAGCTAGACGTAGTGAGATGGTGGGTGTGTCAAAATACCTTGCCAGGTTCATGAGCCAAGTGTGTATTTCTGCCTCACAGCATCATCGCACCAGAGGTTCTATCAAAAGAGAAGATGATATAATTCATCTTGTTGACCAACTTTTAAAAAACAGCATGTGCAAAAAAGGTGAACCAAGGCAACATTGTGGTTTTAATAATATTAAACATAACAATTCAGCAGCCCATCCAGTCCATATGAGGAAGCGTATTGAGAAACTACTGAAGAAGAGAGTGAAGAGAAACAATCTGTTACAATAATGTGTTGCTGGATGGATAAATGATTGAATGAATGGATGGATGGATGGATGGATGGCATATTCATGATGAGAACATGATAATTTTTGTAAATATTGACACATTGAGTATGAATTTAACCAACAAATTTATAAGGTAAAAGTGTTCAGGAAATCATTACACTCTACCTTATTATATTATTCTGACTTCTGGCTGACCAGTCTTTGCTAATTTTCAAAATTTGTTAATACCTATCAGAGAAGTATCCAATAACTATTTTCATGTATTTGGTTTGAGTTGGTTCATATCAATAAATAACCTCCTGCACTCAAGGTTAGGTCCATTATAAGCATATAATATTTAAAAAAAATGAAGAAATAAAGTTAATTAACAATAAAATTGAGATTCAAGTTACATGCTATAGAAGGATGAGTTGCTTCTGCTACATTGCACCTGATATATTATTTGAATGGGAATGACAACACATGAGTGAAAAGTTATTTTATAATTTAAGATGTTGTGTGGTATTTTGTCAAGTGATTAACTAAATTTTTTTCTTTACAAAAGCATTTCATTTTGCAATTACTACAGCATCTACACATCTCACATTTACAGACATCACAATCATTCATTACACATGCAGAAGGTGTTGGGAGGGCTTCATCCATGCCATCCAAAATAAAAAGGCTCAAAATATGTTTGCGAAAGCACCCCTTTTCTTTAACTATGTCTTTCATTTTTTTGTCAGAGCATAGTGACAAACTCCTTGAATATGGATAAGTATAAGTATAACCGTCACGACACCCCAGCTGACAACAATATTTATGTTTGGGATATCAATCCCTAATCCAAAAGCTACTGTAGCAAAGATTAAATTTATTGTACTTTCAGAATTTTTAAGGTCACTTAGTATTCTGTGCATACTATTTTCGTCTGTTCTGCTATGATACATTTCTATCATTCGGTTTTTTATGTTAACAACACCATTTACGTAAGCTAAACTTTCTAGGCCTCCGTTAACCATATATACAAAGTTTCACATTGTCTGAGATTTTGGCAATACACAATTGTCTTAGGCGTTGTTGATTGTAATTCAGACAATATATCAACTTTCCACTACAATTGTATTTCATGGTTTTGACTACAGGGTTGCTGTTCAACATGTATAAATACATTAGGTCTGCAAAACAATTATCAATTTGCTAAACATAAATTACAATGCAAACCGCAACACTTATAATCTTATTGTGATGTAAAACATTTGTTCATGATTTTAAAAAGAAGGGATATGTGGTTGATTTTCTTCAAATAATCATATCATGATAATAAAATAGAGGAATATTGAAGATTTATGACAATGTTTCGTTATATATTTTGATCTTTTATTATTCATTTTCATTTTCCTGCATATAATCCATTAAACAGACATACATGTATAAGATTTGAAAATGTAAGCAATTTATATTTTTTTTTAGAAAAATGTAAAGTGTATAATCTTGAATATAGTTTAATTGAATTCATTGTGATGTTCTATGTAAAGTTTTGTTTTAAATGTGTAAATATATTATGTTATGGATATATATATATTTGTGGTAATGTCTGAATGAAGTTTTTTTGGGCAATGAATGACATCAGTTGCAGTTCTATTTCACAACTTACTGTGATCATAAATGTTTTATATACAAGCAGAAGCCATTATTAAAAGTTAAATTACCTATCAGGAAGTTTAGCAACTACTCTAGTGTTTTCTTCATCCAAAGCTAGCAGGTTGTACAAGTCATTTTGGACAGACATTGTAGCTGTGGTACTAAGTAGAAGTGTTTGAATATCGGAGAACAGGCTTACAATATCTGATACTTTCCTATAATCTGGCCTAAAATCTAATCCCTGTAGAATTAAATATGCACCTATTTTATCTATCTAACAATGTATGGTGTAATTATACTGTATGTGTACATATTGTACTTTTATGTAATATATATATATTTTTGATTTTATTTTGAAAAAATTAATCTTTCAAATACTTCATTTATCATCCATGTTGATAAGTAATTTATATCATGTTTAATTTATATTTAATCTATGCAAAATTTTTTATTTTCTAACACTTTTTCTATAATAGCAGCATTGCCATGTACGGATTTTTTATACTATAAGATGACATAGACATCTTACATCTTACAAATAGATATCAGATGAAAAATAATATTTGAAATCTATTGTTTTCTTACTGTATTGATTATTTTTCTGGTACCTCTATTTGAATTCCTACATATTTGAGAAGATATCATGCTGAATGGTCTCACTATTCACCATCATTTTATTAATAGTAAAATAAATATCATTAAAATGATCTAAAGTTTTTATTATTTACCATTCAGAAATACAGTGACATTCATCAAACACTAATAATGAAATTTGTGATTGGTGGTACTTAAGGACATCAATTTTGACAGGTCTCAGCATTTCTGGTGACACAAATATGATGTCGACAAACCCTTTCTTGATATCTGAAACCATATATAATACAAATATTGTATTCTTTTATTTCAATGTGAGTTTAAAATTGTTAATAGTACAATTGTATTTACTGAATATTTCACAGTTCTCACATTGTTTTAATAGTTTTTGATAATGAAGAAATTAAGTGATATTGATGACATCTCATGAAAGACAGACCATTAAGTAAAAGAAAAAGAATACATACAAATGCCGGTAGATTAAATAATGCAAACTTGAATGTGGCAAAAAGACAAGAACACAACCAAAATGTACAAATCAATCCAAGACCAACAATGTGTCTTCAATACAACAAAAATCCTCTCCCGGAGATGTACAATGTAAATGAGCAAGCAACCAAACAATATAAGCAATATAAAAATACATGGACATCCATGTACAAAATTAAATCCCTAAATTGAAAAATTAAAGAGTAATGACTAATCTCGACATAATGAAATCAATTATGTATAACCTTCCATCATGTCTGGTGGTGTATCTTTAGTCATGTAAGCCGCCTTCACATCATGCTTTTCCAGTCTTATCACCTGATCAATCTCTCAATGGAGACACTACTAAACTTGTCTTTCTAGAATAAATCATGTAAAAAATTTATGTCAACAGTAATAATTTCATTCAGATGTAAGTTACAATATAATGTAGTATAGAGAGAATGGACATAGAGAATTTGTTAGAGACAACAAACTGACAAAAGAACAGACAACTCCATTTTAATTTTAAACTTGAACATGAAGGAATTAATGAAACAATCTTGTGAAGAATGGTGTATATGTATCTGTTTTCAATTTAAGCACTCTGAATTCACTGCTTCTATCAAAAAGGTAATGAAGGCAATCATTTGAGGAAAGTGGAGCAACACTTGTTCAGTAAGCTATTTATTTTCAACATTTATTGTTTTGATATATTCACTTAACATGAACTCTTTTCAATCAACGGTTTCACTATCAATTAATTGAAAAATGGATTTAAAGTATATCACTCTACCCTAATGGAAGTTTATATATATGATTGAATATATTCATACCTTTTTCTGTATAAGAGGGAAAAGGGTATATATCATACTCTTGCCAAACCCTGTAGGCAGCATAGCAAACACATTGGTACCATTCCAAAGATGCTTCAAGCACTCGGTCTGTTGAGATTTGAATTTTATATTAAAACTATGATCATGAAGAACTTCATCCAAGAACTCCATTTTGATATTTTTATCTCCCCTTTGAGACCTTGTTTCACATTACCAAAAAGAAAAGAAGACAGAAAGGAAGAAAGAATAAAAAAAATTTAAAAAGGTAGAAATTCCATGAAAACTTGTTATTATAATGAAAGTGATTGCAATTATTATTATTGATTTATAAATATGTGACCTTTTATTGTATCATTGGTTGAATTGAATTTAAAACCAATGTAAATATATAAAACTATTCAAGTTCACCTTTTAGTTGCGCTCAACTTAAATTAATAATGATTTTCTTTTATAAAAAGCAAGTTTCAATACTTCTCACACTGTACAAAAACATAAGCACAGCATGAACAAACAAATTATTTGTATCCAATGCTATAAAATATCATGTAAAAATATTCTGTTGATGGCCCAGATTGTCCCTAAATTCATGTTTTTTATCATTAACATGATTAATAGGTTGAAACAATCAATGTTAATAATGTGAATGATATTTCCTTATTTTATTTGTTTAATATAACATTTCTATTTCATCTATTTTATTAACTTTTTGTGTGTAAAGGCACTTTGAAATTTAATAATTCAATAATTGACATTGTTTTTTTTTCATAAGATGGTTCACTATGTAATCCAAAATTGTGAGGAATATGAAACAACTGTGTTTCTTTTAAAAGCGGCCAAAGTAAAACATTAATTATTTCAAATTAAAGAGGAGTGTACATTCACCGTTTATTATAATTTTAATTTTAATTCTTTTTAGCGCTTTTTCAAATTTATCGCTGTTTTTTACTTTGCTTAGGTTATAATTAGATATCCCGTGTTATTCGTACGCCAGAAGGTAGAAGATCCGAGTAACCGGAAATCAACGTTGATTGGTCGAAATATTTCAAGATGTCAAACTTGCCTAGAATGAAAGTAGAATGCATTGAATGTTGCAAAAAGTCGATTATCTCGACTCAGAAAGGTCGTTGATCATAGTAAGGCACACGAAAATGTAGAAAACCCGTTTATCTATAAGTGTATATAGGTACAAATGTCTGAAAAGTACAAAATAAGCGAAAAAAGAGCGCAAACAAATTGTATGCGAATCTCCTGTTTTGAATGGACACTGCTTTCTGTCTCTATATTGCACAAAAAAAAAAACCAAAAAAAAAATAGAAAATAGCAAAATCAGTAAACAGCAAATGTAAATTAGGAAAAAATGCATTATAGGGACAGAAGAATTCGGTCTATTTGTCCATTTACGCTTACCCCATATCTTTTTTTCGGTACGTCTGAAAGCCGCCCAGCGATTAATTTCACAAGGAATCTTACGAGAAAAATACTCGTTGTCATGAACATTAAAGTATAACTTGCGATCAATTTTTGTAGTAAATTCTTTTTGGGAAAAAAGCCCCCTCAGGACACTTTATGGTCATCGTATATGCACACAGAAAAAATAAATAAAACAGTCTCAAGCTGTTTGAATCAGTGAATTTTGAAAATGTTGTTTTGACAAACCGGTAATTACTTTTTTGTCCCTTTTCTTAACAATTAGGACACGTGCCACTGATTATACGACGAGGGGATTTTTAACGACCTTGACTACCTATGAGGGTCTTGCACGGTCGACTGATTATACAACAAGTCAACTTTCATAAATAGTCCAAACAGCAAATTTTTGATTGGTTTGCCATAAATGCTTATGAATGTTATATTTTTTCAGCAATATTGTAACATCAGGGTTTATCCTTCAGTATAAAAAAAAATGATTTGGTATCATCAGAGACATATATTCACTCTAGTATTATTTAATTAATTATATTCTTATGGTACATGTATAATAGTAATATTTTTAGATTGATAAAAATATAATTTCATTAATTTTTTAAGCATTATTTATATGATTATTCAATATAGTTTGGCAGTGCATTATTGAATTTAGCAAAATCATGATATAGAAGATCGCAAGGTTAATTCCTAAGAAAAAAAACACCTTGTTATTTAATTGTATGTAAAAATACTTTTCTATTCTTCATCAACTGGACACACAAATATGTTATAGTTATGGAACAATCAAATCGGTAAATTGCATTTTTTTTCTGCACGGCCCGGGTGACATTACTTGACCCGAACGGCGTAGGAGTTTGGGTTGAAGGGTCATCCCTAACGTGCAAATTAAATGATATATACCGATTTGATCGGCCAATAACTGTTTTAACACATGACAGCACCATATTACATGAACGTTTTGGATATATTCGGACGCTATTCAATCAACGGCTTACGGGAAAGTTTCTTGTAGGGTAAAGGAAGGGGGAAAAGGCCTTTAAGTAGTAAAACTTTAATATTGGTAACTATTAAATTATTAACTTTTTTTATATTCAGGCTTTCTCCTAAATTGTTAAATTATTTAGAGAATCGTGTTTAAATGCCAGATCTTTGCTTGTTTCTGTTACAACAGAGACATATAATACATGTATTTTATGTTTCTGGTTAAATTTATTTACAATTTTGAACTTGGAATATTGTGTAGACACCTGTCTATTGTTGAACACTATATATGTTGCCATCTAGATGTCCTTATGTGGATTTTGTCGTTTGATTGCTGTCTTATTGACGTTAAACCCAAAACTTCTACAGTTTAAGTTCCTCCAGTATAATATACTTTTAAATCGATTTAAGACAAATAATAATTGAAAGTGATATTGAATATAGATTTCCCCTCAAGAATTTGCTCAGAGGAAGATTAATAGAAGAGGTTGGTACATAAATTTTTAGTGCAAAGGAAACAAACAAAAACGTTTAACCTTTTCAAATTTTAACTACAACCAATTTTTAAACAACGAAGTCTGGTTGATCTCCAACTTACTAAAAATATAGAAATAAGGAGATGTGGTATGATTGCCAATGAGACAACTATCCACGGCCTTCAACAATGAGAAAAACCCATACCGTATAGTATACCTGTACCCTGTTTTGGCACATACCTAAATGTTTACCTCATTACATTTGATCCCAAAATAGTCACTGAAAAGGAATTAATATTTAATATGTCGTAATAAATTTCATTGAGCACAAAACATTTCCAAACCAGATTTCAATTATATATGGATATTTTAAAATATCTTAAGAAATTGTAAAAAAAAATAATTATCTTCTTTGACTTTAAAACAATATTTAATAATTAGATTGTGCACAAAATATCATAAAATATTCCTTGGAATGAAAATTACTTTCTATTTCCGACGAAGTTTGTACAAAATTGTTAATTGCAAGGCGAGTGGTTTACCCTAAAATCGTTAAATATTTTCTTCTTCATAGAATTAAGCCCCTGTGCCTTTGAAAAGTCCTGGATCCGCCCCTAAAGATAAGAGTACATTTGAACTGTGCATTATTCAGATTATAGCATATGAACTACTGCAACAATTTTTTAGGATTTATAGTTTTATATTTAGACTTGTTTAAGGAACGTAATAATGGACAAGATAAAGGCAACAGTAGTATACCGCTGTTCGAAACTATAGCTCATTAAAAATGGATTGGTTGATTTTTGTTTGCTTTTCGAGCAGTGGCAAATAGTTCCTATGTATTGCGGACAAAACAAAGATGTACAATAATATAATAAAGTTTACTGTAATAGGAAAAAAAATATACAAACTTTATGTCACAAATAAGTCAGGTTCGAACTTTCAATGTAATGAAAATTTTGCTGATATTTTTCGGAACAAAATTAATTATAGCAAACTAAAACAATAATGTTTCTTGATATGCCAAATTTATAACG